TGTGACTGAAAAACATATTTGGAAGAGCCAAATCTGTTCAGATCGTTCAAGAGCTTCTTCAATCACAAGATTTGCTTCATAAATTCAAAGCATAATTGAAGTTGTCATTTGCTTTGAGTCAACGTTCTCCAGAGATTTATTCCAATCATTAGAGATGTGCAGATCTGCAAGTGAGATCTTGACTCAATGATTAGTGATTGCGATTATTTATCTTGATTGAACAATGTTTGAATGTGCTTGAGTTTTGTTATTGATTATCATAATTCTTAAATGACTAGTGATTCTGATTATTTGAGTTGGTTAAATGATGTTTGTATGTGCTTGAGTTTGGTTATTGATTATTTAAATTCTTCACATTTTAAGACTATAGTGATGACTTGGTAGCTGAAAAATAGTGATAAAATCAGAGAACAATTCACACTTGGAATTGAAATTGATAAGTTGCTAAGCAAATATGATGTTGCGGAAACATTCAATAATTTTTTTATCCTTTAGATATTGTTTGTTTGTTGGGTTCAATATTTTATTTGATTCTATAAAGAAAGTGATCAATACTAACTTGCCATTCTAAACCAAAAGATTAGGTTGGATTTTTGAGACCTTGATTTGTAACATACAAAACACAAGCGTTGGCTGCTTATTATTGGTTTATAGTTTTGTCGTCCTACTCTGGGTTACTCTTTGTCTTCATTTTGTTAGGAATTGCTTGTTATTTATCTCGAGTTGATACCTGCCCCCATTGCAATGAAGTTTCTCACTTTCCTGAAGTTCTTTTCGATTGCAAATCTTTTGGTTCATTTTATACTTCCTAAGTTCTGGTTCCTATAATTTCTCATACTCTGTAGGGTTTCTTAAGGGAGTAATGCAGAAATAGCAGCTGAATTTGTATGTTGAACCATAGAGGTAGTATCACTTAGTGAGAATGAGAGGGAAGGAAGATTTTCACCCAACATAGTAAAGCGAATGATGATGTATTAGCTGAAAGGAGGCAAAGTGTTCAGCTTGATTGCTTTGGCCAGTCAGCAGGAAGTAATCTTCATTTGGTTTCTGTTGTGGAAGAGTCTCTTCTCGAATTGCATCATGTGGTCAATGAAGATGAGGAAGAGTCTGACTGTGGGATGCAGGAGAAGATAAGGAGGGGTAGGGGTCGTGGTCAAAGTGAATTGGATGGTTTTGATGAAGAGCTAATGGGTTCTTTAGCACTTGAGAATGGATTGGATGAGAAAAATGATAAAAGACAACATCATAGATCTCGGGATTAGGATGCTTTAGCCATACATGCCTTGCAGTTTTTACTAGCCTAACTGGGGTGAGTAGATTTCCTTCAGCTGCATGGACATGCCATCCTACCATGCTTGCAGGTGTGTTATGGTATTTTTTATGCATATTAATATGAATATTTCAAGAATTAATTACCAAATTAATGCCCTTTTTTAACTTTTTATTTTTTTTAACCATGATTTCTAACTTACTGTTCAAATTATCGTTGTTCATGTGAAACTGCATTGGATGTGGGTTACTGCTTCATATGATAATGTCTGGTTATATGCTATGAAAAATGCATTTATTTCCTTTTTTTTTTTTGCGAGGATTTAAATTATTTCTTTTTCAACTGTGTATATGGATGTATTCTAGGATATGAATTTCACTTTGCATCTTATAAGGCCTCATTATTTGAATTGGAATTCAACGCGAGAAGTATAAATTCTTTGGAATTCAATGTGAGAGGTAAAAATTCATTTTGTTTAGAACAACTTATGAGAAGATTTTTATGGAAAGGACTGAAATGAGAAGCACTAGTGCTAAAAATATAATGGGAGGAGGTTTGTAAGCCAAAGGAGGAGAGAGGGATGGGAATCAAAAGGATTAAGGATTGTAACCTTGCTATGATGATGAGGTACATTTGGTTGCTTTCATATCGTACAAAAATTTGATAATTTAATCTTCTATGTATAAACCAAACTCTACACACATGGGCAGAGCTACATTGGGACCGGGGGTGGGCACTTGTCTCCCCCAATTTTGGATCACTTTTGATGAGACCCCATAAGATTATTCAATGTACCACATTTATCGTCCCTAAAATTTTGAAAATTTACATAATGGTACTAGTCCCTTTTTTCCCCAGTAAATTAGTAGTTTATTAGCCCTCTAAAACAAATGTTTTACTTTTGGATCAAGTAAATTGGATGTAAACGTCATGATCTATTTATATATATTGAAAAAAATATAATATTTCTATTTTATTTAATACACTACTTTCCAATCATTTAAAAATAATTGTATAGCTATCATTTATTATTTTTCGATTTGTTTGTAGTGTATACCTAGTAAAATATAATTGGATGCAAAAGCCACATGTTATAACCCAAAAGTATTTTATGCTATGTCAAACATGTAATTTCTCTATAAAAACGAGAATGATTTTAATTATATTTTACAATTATATAAAGAATAATTTTACTACAGACTTTGTGATTGTATGCGTTGGTAGAAAATTAGTGAGAAATCTAACTTACAATTAATCAATTATGAAAAATCTTAGAGATTTAAAAGAATATTGTATTTCATATAATACATGATTGTGTTATTGTTTCGAATCTTAGTCTATTTTGTTATTTTTTCTCTCATTTTTTTTGGTATCAACTATTGAATTATTTTTAGTTATATTTTTTTCCCTCTCATTCCTGGCTCCACTCCTATCTATACATCAGATTTTCTATAATATAAAATAAAAAATATACATGCATAACATATATTTAATATAATACAAATATTTTATTCATACAGACTCTCAATAGAAAATAAACAACGTTTATTAAATAATAAATTGAGTTTCATTATAAAAAATTAAATTTTAATATATAAATCTACGAAGTTTAATACAATGTTGAAAAAAAAAATTTGGTACCATACTTTCATTTACTACATTTGTGGTTACATTTACTATATTTGTGGTATTTTTACAATTACTGTGGTACCCAAAAAAATGGTAAAATAGTTACCACAATAGTGATAAAAATATCTATAAATATGGTATACCCACAAATGTGATAAATCACCAACAAAAATGATAATTTTTTTGTACCTAAAAAAAAGGTAAAAATTGTTATTACAAATATTATAAAAATATCTACAAAAATAGTAAATCAACCACAAAAATGATAAATTTTTTGGTTGTAAAATAACTACAAAATTATAAAAACACCATTTAAAGTAAAAAATTTTAGAAGTATGGTAACCAAATTTCTTTGGCCGAACCGTAATCAAATCCATAACTCTATCATAAGTATTATTGCTCTTTCAAAGTTTGGCACTCATTGCCCAAACACAATTTACAGAAAGAGAGAAATGATTGGTCTTCTCACTCCCCAATTGAAGCCTCTTGCCTTGGCCTTACTCGTGAAAGGTTAAATGTTCATCGCATGCAGTTTTTCAAAGGCCTATTGTCCATAAAAGCTACAACTGAGATTTTCAAAGGTCCATATAACTTTTTTCACTCTTTTTTCCCCCCAATGAGAGCACCAGAGAACTGACAATCAAAGTGAGTGGGTGGCTGGTAATGTGTGTGTGTGTGTGTGTCTTGCCTGGGTTGAGAGGACTGGAGCTTCTGTGGAAAGCTTACAAAATTTTGGGCACTGAAAAACATGGTGTTTTATTGCATTAAAAGTTGAATGGTACCCATGAAAAAAGCCACGGGCGACTTGTTAAAAAGTCGCTTTAATCCTACTTCTGACTTCTGATTCCGGTGTTCCATTTTCAGATCTGAGGACCCACATGCCTTTTTTTGTTTTCTTTTTAAGAGTAATTTTATTTTACAAATTTTAATACCGTACAAAGAAAATTACTAATTTTAATAGTAAAATTATATTTTTTAAATGTGAAATTTTAATTA